AGTTCAGACGTGTGCTCTTCCGATCTCCCCAAAACCCCAAAACCCCTCAGGTCAAGTTTAAAATTATAGTAATCAAATATGCTATATAAATTAGAGAGAAATCATTTAAGACACCAGGTTAAAGAATTTAGATAGTCATCTTCTTATGGATTGGTAAAAGTAACTGGCTTTAGTAATGGATATTTTGCTTGTTAGGTAGCTGGAATGTCATAGATTTTTTTCTAAGGCATCTTAACAGTGGGATCATCTCCATTTTTCTCCTGTTAAAATGTCTTTTTAGTATGCTCCTGCAGCTCTTTCATATGAATTCTTTTCTTATCATGGCTACTGTTGTTTAGAATTAGTACTTATCTCAATTCCTCTCTGATTCTTACACCCATATATACATTTTAGTCAAGGTAGCCCTATCCAGAATCACTATCAATATCACCTCCTAGAGAACCTAATGTCTCATTAGAAACAAGCAGAGCATTTAAAATTATCTGAGCACCTGCAGGACCAATGGGGTTTCTAGAGATATCAACTTTATAAAGAACTGGATTATTTTCAAGGACATATGAAAGATCCTAAGCGAACTCATCGTCTAAGAAGTTTGAAGCGAGATTAAGTTCAGTTAGGCATACATTGTCCATCATTGAATCTAGCAGAAATTTAACTTGGCATGATTTCAAAGCATTAGAGGACAAATCTAGCTTGACAAGGGTCTTGTTAAATCTTAAAGAGTTTGATAGCTCTATAAGCTGCTCAAAAGAAATAAAGCAAAACTTAAGTGAAAGAGAAGTCAAGTAATAATCGTTATTTGATACTGCTTTAGAGATATGATCTGCTGCTCCCTTGGTCAGAGTACTATTTCTCATATTTAAGTTAAATGCTGGTTTCTTAGGCAAAATCATTTTAGCTAATTAATCAGAAAGAGAACCTTAAACAGTGAGTCCAACATAAACCAGGTTTGCTTGTTTTTTAAGTCCTTAAACGATAAGGCTATTTCCTGGATTATCATTGAAAAAGTCATTTTAAGTTAAGTCAATCCATTGAATATGAGTCACCTCGTCTTTTAGCTTTTTACCTATCATTCCTCCCAGTTTCACCATGTTGTTCTTTGACAAGTCTATGCATCTTATCTTTACAATGCTGAAAATTTCTAGTATCTCTCTGTCACATTCATCTGTAATTCCATTATTTCTTAAACATAAAGTTCTGATGCAAGGTAAAAGTTGAAGTCCCTCAATCAGCTCTTTCATCCCAGATCTTGAAAATCTCTTGTGTCTAAATCCAGAAAGGTCTATTTTCTCCAGCATGTGATGAGGTTGTACAGTCAATTCCTTCTTCTTTCTCTCCCCTTTCTTAGGTGCTTCTCCTTTTGGCAAGCGCAAGAATTCAACTGCCTCCCCAAATGTTTGAGGTATTTTCAGATTATCTGGCTCAGTAGACTTTTTATCATCACCCACAATGGAATCATCTCCAAGCAGCTGACCAAGAGTAGAGGGCATCTGGATTCTGCGGCCAGTGTCCTTTTCATACTTTGATGCTAGATATTCAATGATTTTTTTCTGTTCTTCAAGTTGGTTTTGCACTGAGGACATTTTATTAATTTTTGAATTGAAATTTAAAGTTATAATTTAGTGCTCCAACAATCATATTCATTATTATAATCATTATACATTAAACAAATATTAATTTTATATTGACTGTATAAATAGTTTTATCTAATTAAACCAAAATTAGATCAACACAAACAAACATTTGTACATCGTCTTTCCTCTTTGAATGGTTATTCCATGCTCAATCCTTGTCCTTCTTTCTTTTATTCTGTTTGTTTGCATTTTGCAGCTTAGTCAGACCTGGAGCAAGTACTCTGCAGTTATTGACAAGCATGTTAGTCATATCTGCATCTGGGATGTTCTTGATACTCATAGTATCGAACTGATTTTTATTGGCTTGTCCAAGGAACAAACTCTTTATTAGTTTCATCGCTCTACCTCTCTTTAAAGTGCCTGGCTGGATCTTAACCTTGTATTTATATGTTTGAATAGCGGAATATGGAGCACACATTGGAACAACTCCAATAAGTATATCAGTTGCCTTAGGAATACCAGTAAGCTTATCTATCTCATTGACATCTACATTCTCAGCAACAAGATTTATGTCCTCCTCTTTCATTATTTAATCTATTTCCTTCTTTTCCTCTTCTTCATCAACCACTTCCTCTATTTCGTTCTCGCCTTAGTTCTCAATTTAAACTTCTTGCATTTCTTCTTCTTAATCTTCTAGTTTAGATTCTTCTAGCTATATCTCTGGCTAAACTTGGGAATCTTATTGATTTTCTAATTCTTCTTGCTGTTAAATGGAGTCAGCTTAGGTCTCATCAACTATCTCCTATTGCTCTTTAATCTCCTATTCTTCATCTTCTTACTTATCATTTGATTTTAAACTCTGCTTCTTATCCCCGTTCTTTAAATCCTTTTTGCCATTTGTTGGCTGCTTTTTTATTTTCTAATCAAAGCCTTTGATCTTTTTAGCACCAAGCATTTCTAGTCTCATTTGCCTTTCTTCCTCATCTTAATCTGCATATTTATCTTTGATTTTCTAGATCTTTTTTTTTGCCCCTCTTACTTATTTTGGTTTTTACTAAGTCAATGCTTCTTTCTCCTCTTCTATTTCTTATTATTTCTTAGCATCTGCTTTCTTCTCACCCTTTGATTTATTTTGCTATTCCTTTTGCTTTTATTTCTTCAAGTAGTTTGCTTATCTCTTTTTCTCCATATATTCCTTATCTTCACCAACTTGAACAACTTAATACTCTTCTTTTATAGCCCCTGAGGTAACTGTAGAGTTTTATTTTGATAGTTCGCTGACTTGAGATTCCTCACCATCATCTAGTAACTCTATATCTTCAGTCATTTCATTCAAATCATTTAGAGAGTCTAGTTTATCTAAAAGTGATTGGGATTCCATCTCATCTTGCTGAAGTCTAGGCTTTCTTTCACCCATATGATTGGCAATGCTCTCCTCATTTAAAGTGAACATTATAGTGAAACCTAGTTCAAGCTTGCTTGGAGTAATTGAGTTTCTCTTACCTCTAATCATAAAACTGCCAGTTGCAATATATAAACCAGTAGGTGGCGTCTTTGATACCTAGTCTGCATGAACCCAGTAAACACTGGTCACAATTTTACCCTCCCAAGCTTTACTGTGACATAATTCAAAAATAGCTGCTTCATTTAGAGTAATTGGTGGGACAACCTATCCTGATGGATTTTTTATGATAGTAACAGCTGCTCCAGGCATATCAGTATGCATGAACAAGTCTCCTTTATTCAAATATCTCTTAACTAATGCTTCATTTTGTTACGCATTTTTGCCAGAAATGCAGAGGTAGTTTTCTGATGAGATAAACCAATCGAATTTCTCAAACCAGAACACTTTACGCATTCTATCAATCTTCAATGTCTGCCTATGCTTAGTAATTTCTTTCAGAGCATTGGTTTCTGCATCTTTAAATGCAATATCTGCTGCAGTCTTAGTTTTGACCTCCTTTTCATAACTCTTTTTTTTAATTTCGAAGTACTTTCGGATGTTCATCTGGGCTGAGATGTGCAAGTCAACATCAACTCGAACAACTGGATCAAAGTTAGTGAACTTCTCATCAACACTAAAGTCACTTGACATCTCGTCATCTTCATTGCAAGCATCTAGCATAAGAGTTACGTAATTTTTCTCAAAATTTATTTTGTATATCAAGTCAGCTAGTGGGTTTCCAGCTTTTTTCTCTTCCTTAACCATTCTCATGATATCTGGCCAAGATATTCCAGAAGTTTGCATCACTTGAAGTATATCAATGATAGCTTGAACTTCATAGATATACTTTTGAAGTAATTACGCTTTAAATTCTGACAAATCTTGCTCCTTTTGCAATCCTTGTATTCTTTTTTCTTAATCATCTTTAATTCTCGACATTTTTTTCCATATCTCATCCTCTTTGTTTGAGAACTTAGACTGCTCTCTCTGCTTATCTAATTATGAAAAATATTCATCCACACATTGATCGAATGATTCATACTCCAGGCAAGGTTCTCCCTAGAACTGTGCAAGTGGAATTGGACCGAAATCCTTTAGTAACTTGTTCTTAAATTTGATGTCCTGTACAGTTTCTAGTTCAGCCGGAACTTCATTTTAGGGTAAACTAGTTGCAGATTGAGTTGACAGTTGCGGTATTTTCTTTTCTTGCTCAGGCTTATCTGTATATATCAAGTATCCTAAGATAGACTCTTGTGTTTCTAAATCTTTCACTAATTACTAGCACTACCTTGCTGCTTTAACTAAAATATCTTATTACTCAATTGTTGCCTTTGAATTTGGATCATGACCCATTTATTTCAGTACGTGCTCTGCATAAGGGAAGTTTATATATGGAACCATTTTAGTTAGAATGCTCTTCAAATTTGTCTCCTTTTTATTGTCTTTCTTTGACTGTTGCTTAGCTTTCTTATCTTATTTTTATTGTTATTTGCTACCACCTGCCTTCTTAGTGTCGTTTTAAGCAGCTTCCTAAGTTTAATCTGGTTTTTCAGAAATTTGGTCTGCTTCTTTTTCAGGCTCGCCTTCAATGAATTTCTATATATCTTCAGTAGTAATAAAGATAGTATCTATTGTCATTCCTGCTGAAGCAGTAAATGGATACTTTTCTCTGATCTAAATCTTTGAAGTCTCATCAAACTTGTGAGATCTCAATAAACTCAATATTGTATATTCAAAGTCAGTCAATATAACATTTCCTTGTGCGTATAACTCGACAAGAATATGATAAGCGTTTTCTCCTTTTCCAAACTGCAAATCAATAACTCTATCTACACCTAGCTAAGTCAGATTCTCTAGTTTTTTAGTTCTAAGATGCTTTCTGAGTTTCATAGAGAAGCCTGATGGCACATCCTTCTTGTTTCTCAGAAACTCTGTCGTGTGAATTCTGATTCCTGACTCGATTAATAAATGCTCCTTTCTATTTGCTTTTGATAATTTTAACAAGTAAAGACGTCCAGAAACATCATAGACGTTTGCTAAACGCAATCCGAGTAATTTTTTCTTAAGCAGGAGGCAGAGGGCTCTTACGTCCACTGCTGTCATTTTCTACTTCATTTTTATCTTTCGTCTCTATAATAATATAATACTATTAACACTAAATTATTTTAGGCTTTATAATTTCCTTCTCCATTCCTCTTTGGGCTCTTGGGGTTTTGGGGTTTTGGGGTTTTGGGG